TGAATGGATATGGTATCACTGTATGACGAGATAATCCACCAGCAATTACATAAAGTATGGTCATATACTATTGCAACAGCTGATCATAATCCAATATGTAATTATGTCTTCATGATTTTTTACAGTTCGTGCACCATGTCAGAGATGCATAATCCACTCAAAAATTGAATTGTTCCTTATAGATAGTGTAACTAGTTTTCGCCACCCAGTGGCACAGTGGTATGTCTGCAGACTTACAACTCTAGAATCCGGGTTTCGATACCAGTGGTGGACAGAGCACAGATAGCCCATTGTGTAACTTTGTGCTTAATTATAAACAAACAAACTAGTTTTTCACAAATATTATGTTTGTAACCTTCATCTTCTTCATGGCACACTATCTGCATTTGAGAGTTGTTAGTTTACAGCTTGTATACACAGTTACATGTTCAAACCCATCCTGCACCTGTAACAGCACTGCTCTGATTCCACTATTGCTGGAATCAATATCCTAGAAGAACTAACATGTAAATACACCAGCATGGATGCTTCAACTAAAGCACACTTCAGCATTTTGTCCATCTGAAATGCATACCAGCCATAGTTAAAGCAGACAAGGGTGCAATAGTCCTGAAGAAATGTCGATGAGATGATGTAAACTCAAGCAAACTTTATACTTCTGGTCATGGGTCCATTGAGATGCTTTTTCTACTTACAATATGATCAAAACAATCTACTGATGTGCACATCAACACACACTTCCCTTAATTCTTTTGCTTATATCCACTGCAAAATCAATGTTCATAGCAGTATACCTGAAAACTTTGTCAAATACCAAGACATCATCTACATATACAGGCTTTTCTCCCATTGCAGCCCTTTGAACATAAGGTCAATCAGCCTCTCAAAAGTAGCTAGATCACTATACAGGTCGAATGGCATAATTCTAGATTCAAACAGATCTTTCCAATTACTAAAAGCAGTTTTACCCTGCTCTTCTCATCCAGTTCAATTTGCCATTATCCAGAGGCTAGTCTAGCATACTGATTTACTAGATGCCTTCCAATACATCAAAGTTTCTGTTTGTGGTAATGGAACAACAACTTCTTCCTGATACCCAAATGGAGTGAGCTGAATTGTTCCATTTGTCTTGATGCCCAGCAAGATAAGGACAGTTTGTTTGCTCAGAAGTGTATCATCAGCTCACAATCATAGCATTTACTCTTGCCCTCTGTTCCAGAAAATATTCCAGGTGGAGGCAGTGGCTGCATAGGGACACAAACACCATGGGAGGGCCTTGATACTCATGCTCATTTATGGGTACTCAGCTAAGTTTTACCACAGGATTTTCAAACATTGAAGGCATGCCAATTCATGACAGAGCTCAATCATGTTGAGGAACACTTGGTTGGATAAAATGGCTAGGAGGCGTGAAGCCATGAAAACTGTTGCTGCCTTTTCTTTCCTCTCCTACAATTGGTTTGAGATGACTACCTCGAACTTTAACATCTCATAAACTACTCATGTTAGGATGCAAATACCCAGCGTCCCTAAGTGATACCTTATTGCCTCTCTTGGAAGTTCCTTTCTAAACATATTGACAAGAAAGTCTTCATGATATGCAGCTGCCATTTCAGGATACGCTTTTCCGTGTAAGTTATGCAGATCATTGTCAAAAGCACCTAACTTCTCTAAGGGCCCCTTCTTACGAATCTCGAATTTACCTTCATAGATGACTAAGTTCTATACTGAGTCACAATGTTCGTGCAACTCAGCCATAACTTTATAACAGTCAGCCAGCCTTACCTCAGTTACATTTTGACTGCATCAAGTGTAACACTATCCAGATTCAAGATTAGGCATTGCATCATTGTTCCTGCGACCAGTTGTTCTAGGCAATCACTTGCATACACTTTTGTAGGAAGTGTAACAGGTCTTCATTGATAGGTTTTCATGTGTTAGCTCCAGTTGCACTTGACCTCGGCCCAGATCTTGTTCTGGCAAACCCATGGTCCACAGACTGGCTAATCCTATACAACAGGGGAGCCATTTGATAAGCAGGTTCCAGAAGCTCTGCATTTGAATGAGCACTGACCAATCACAGGAGCTATCAGCCAATGAGGTGCTTTATGTGCCTCTTCTACGAGCCTCTTACGTGCTTGCTGCATTGTCACTAACTGTTACAGCTCAAGGTGGTGCAACTCATCCACCAACTGTACCTCTTACCTTATTGTCAGGGTAGCTGAATACGTTACTTCCTGGAAAGGCTCTTCTATGGTCCATTGATCACAATACTCATTAACGAGAGCCTGTGGAGTTTTTTACTGGCAAAATAACTCCTGTTGATGGCTGTTAACCACCAAAAGCATCTCAATTCTGAGTCTAAGCTCAGTAACTGACTACTTTCATGCTTTGGGAAGTTTCTCACCTCATCCCTGATTTTTTATACTGATTAGGGATTACTATCTCACTTGTTGGCAGGTTTCACTATCCACTGGGAATAGCTGTCCTCTCTGTTTGTGGGGCAGCACATGATGACAGCTTTTGCCAACCAATGGAAGTTGCTGTCCCACCTACTAGTGAGACAGCTCACATCAGAAGCTTTTGCCATCCAATGGTACTACACACCTGACTCTCAGATTTCTGACAGGTGTCCTCTAGTCACAGCGAGGTTCCCATCACTCCACTGATCATTTATGATGTCATCCACAAGTACTCATGATCTCACCTACTGGTGAAATAATTCGGGCTGTTGGAGCTCATCCAGTAATGACACCTCATGCCTCTATGCTGTAGGTGGCCTTGATTAGAGTTGGGGTTTTGCTTCCTTGATCAATGAGAATCTTGGGGTCCTGTAGAAACTGACCTATTTGGACTTGGACACTGTTGGTCTCGGGCTACTACAATGGTCCTTGAGCTCTCTTAGGCTTGTATGCTGCCTAGTTTTAACTTTGGGAGGGAGAAGTTCAAAAGAACTTTTGGATGTCTCATATGGACTTTGTTCTTCGTCTCAAGTTCTCAGCTGTAAGGTTATGGTTTCAAGAGCCCTTTGCAACATTGAGAAGATCCAGGAGAAGATTTCACCTACATATGACCACCATTCTTGCTGATCTTGCCTAGTACCAGATTATTTTTTCTTCAGGTCGTATGCCCTTTATCTCTTGGTGAAAGCCATCTCCACATAAAACAATCATATCATTTATAAAATTTGGCTGATAAACCCTCTAAGAGAGAATGCAGTACTCCACAATACTAATATACATGGCCACAGCACCAAATCTTCACTATCTTACTATTCTATGGTATTTCCAGTAACCTGCTAACTGAAGGTTTGGAGAATACCAACTACAGAGTATTATGCTCTCTCTCTCTGAAAAACAACCAGGATTTTTGAGAAGAAAAGACATGACATTGATATTTGACAAGTACACAATATTATTAAACATTAACATTGAAATAAAACACAAAAATGTTGTCCAAGTTAAAATTAAAAGTGAAAGTTAATCTACAGATATATTAATCAAAAGTTGAAGCCGAAAACATGCACTCCAATAATGTCTTACATTCGTCTCAAAATAAATCTCCTTAAACCAATCAAAAACCTACTTAAGGATCAAACCTTGTTTTTTATATCAAAATATATGAGCAAAACCAAGTTTTCAGACAAAATGCACTTTACATTCCAGATCTATGTTAACAAAGAATTGAGCTATATAATGTAGCTGCTCCTGCCTCTTATCCAATCACATGTTTGGAAAAATAACCTTAGATTTATGTATGTCATGTGCTATCTTCCCTTCAAGAAAGTTGGTTAACTGGCAATTAGCGAACCCACATCTTGCATGCTTTCAAAACATGGATAGTTGAAGTATTGCTTAAGTGAATCTCAGCGTTTGCACTCAGGACTCTGAAAAATAATAAGAATTGAAAAATTACATTGTAACAAGAGAAGGTGTAGCAGATATATCTCGCCCTCCTGTATTACAACATTTGTTTCAATATATACTTTTCTACTGAGTTGTGATCGTTTGATTATGTTTATTTTTAGTTATGTGTGTTTTTGTAACATAAAAACAACAACTTGGTATTGTGGTATATGTCCCCAGTGGGTCAGCAGTAAGTTTACGGACGCTCAGTGCTAAAATCAGGGGATTGATTCTTCGCAGTTTACAGATCACAGCTAGTCCATTGTGTAGCTTGCGCTCAAAAACAACATTATAATAAAATTTTAAGTGTATTATTCATGCAAATGAATTGATTCTGCTTTATATTCATCGCATACAATCGGAATGCTTTTAAAGATATTCATATAAATAGATGGCACAAATATCAAAAGAATAAATTTGCCTTTTAATTTTACTTATAAGTGTTATATCATCCTCGTCATTTTACATTCATTATTGCTATTCTATTGAGAATGGACCCGGCATGATCAGGTGGTTAGGGTGCTCGACTCGCAATCTGAGGGTCATGGGTTCGAATCCCCGTCACACCAAACATGCTCGCCCTTCCAGCCGCGGGGGCGTTATAATGTTACGGTCAATTCCACTATTCGTTGATAAAAGAGTAGCCCAAGAGTTGGCGATGAGTGGTGATGACTAGCTGCCTTCCCTCTAGTCTTACACTGCTAAATTAGGGACGGCTAGCGCAGATAGCTCTCATACAGCTTTGCGCGAAATTCAAAACAAACAAGCTATTTATTGAGAATAATGTTTAAATAGGGAATTTCAAAAGAAAAAAGTGATTTTTTAACTACATCTGGCAATTACTTTTTAAAGTGATTGGAGTTATGATTTTTATGTGTATTAATATATAATAAAGAAATATGAAAAAAACATACATGCTTAGAATAACAGAAAGTTATATTTCGCATATATTTCTTAAATTCGATTTTTAATTATTGCTGTATTTATAAATTTTTTAAATATGTATTAGTGATGTTTTGTAATCACGCTCTCTAGGTACTATGCTTTCAAATGACAGTAAGATGACTTAAATTTTTTCTGCGGTAGATAGAATCATTGGTCGTGTGTCATCAATTCTAAATCTCAGACTGAGAAGCTTTAATTTAAATAAAGTAGCACAGTATACGTTAAATTGCCTTGCTAGTTACTACTTAAATATTCTATTATAAGAAATACAAAATATATATTTTACATTAAATATAAAAGTATTAGCATAAAATTAAGTCAAAATGTGTAAACAAAATTAATTTAAATTTTACAAAAATAGTACTAGTACTAGTTTAACTTGAAAGTTGAATAACAGTTTAACTTCATTATGTAGACTAGTGGAACTTATGTCTTAACTGCTAAAGCCTATTCAGTATTATTGTTTGACTGGAGCCTAAGTTTAGGAAAGAACAATGGATAAATTAACAGTTATTTCTGGAACATTGTTTTTAGCTGCAGATATATTTGCTGTGATGAGTCTCATCCTGCCTGACTGGATAGTTACTGAAGTTGGAGGTAAGACAAATGGGTATTACTATTACTATCGTATATATATATGTATAAGTATAAATTTTTGTTATTCATCCTACTGTGACTCTGAATGCATTAAATGATTCTTTACTATATCCAAAATTGAAAGAGCTCATCAACACCTCTGTAATCACAATGTTGAGATATGCTTTGATGGATAGTGTATGCAGAGTATTCATATTCATTTGAATGTGAAATTGGCAATAACTGCCTGTCAGAGAAACACTTGTATAAATATACTGATGACTACAGTATATAATCTACTTAGGCAGCTCTAGTGTAGAGGACAAATTTTATAAAGTCTTCCATCTTTTGTTTTCAGGTCCAGACAAAAGGTGGAAAGCTTTAGAAATGTTGTCCTGTACACTTGAGCTGGGTAACGAGATTGTTTAGTCACCAATATATTTATACAAGTGTTTCTTTAATAGGCACTTACTGCTCATTTTACAGTCAACTCAATAATTGAGTTATGGATGCTGAATTCACCTTCAATACCAACAACCTCACAAAACAAGATTGAAGTGGCCTTACCTCTGCTGAAAATTGTATGTCTCATCTTTCTGTAAAGAAGCATTTTCTCTGTGGTTTGCAATAGTTATGTCAGTGGAGATGGCCAAGTAAGTGACTTCAAAGCTTACATGGAGCTGTAAATTGCCTTAGTACATGCTTGAAGCTGAAGTTTAGTTGATGTGAATTTGATTACCAAGACAATGCTATTCAGATGAAACTAGGGTGCAAGAAAGGTTATCCTATGGAACTTGGGGAGTCATCATCAAAGACTAAAGCTGGATGAATGAAGTCCACACACCACAAGTGTTTGAAGACAAAACTGCTTTGTACATATTTATTTATTATAGACAAATTGTAAAAATAAGAGAAAGGAAATATGAAGCTGCAATCTCAAACCTTGTCTCACAAAGAATTACATCAACACATGATTCAACAATGAGATTCATAATAGTAAGAGCACAGACCAGCATGCTTAGCACAGTAGGCACCACATCACAGTGATATGAGTTAAAGGACATGACAAGAATGAAGGAGTATTACAATATGGTAGCACATCGCATTTCCTCCTTCGTACGTCTCTTGGTTACTAGAGTGAACTAGAATACCATATGGTAGATAATTCTATGATCATTAAATCACATATTTCTCTTTGGTTACTACCCAATCAAACTTATGGTTTAGGTTGATAATATTTCTTGGACAACATATCATGAAACATATAATAATCATCTCTTTTCATAATGGTAAGGTGGTGTGGCCAACACCCCAATATCTGTTATCTTTAAGACTTGAGTTTAATGAAATTTTGTGCAACTGTCTGGAAAATTATGGATTTTAGAATTTGCCATATCAAGGGCTTTTTTTTTTTTTTAGAGTGCAATCACTTTTTCTATACATGTAATGTCAGATGTACTCTGATTCTCTCCTACACCTTCAAAAATTCATGAAATCCTATTTGACATTCATATGGGGTGTTAAAACTGAAATACAGTCAACATGAAACTAGCCTGATTATATTTGTATAATTCTTTGTAAGTGTACAGACTGTTTGTAGTTTAATTTTTGGGAATTGATAAAATATAGTGGCTATTTACGTTGCTGATAGGGCCTTTTTCTCTTTCTTTAGTTATCTGCACAGATGATCGTTTCTTGATAAAGTTAAGAGTTGAATTAATTACAAAAAGCTCTTAGAACTTTATGAATTTTATGCTGAGATGACAACAGAAAAATGAAGAGTAAATATTGATATTTTTATTTATGGTGCTGCAATTCCCCCTCCCTCCCCCAATAAAGATAAAAGCAAAACTACAACAAACTGACAATTATTCCAACTTGTAGATAGTTTTTCAGTCTGGTCTAATCTTGTTTTTAATTTAAGTGTGAATTGTGCAAGAACTGATAGTCTAGGCAGATAGCTACTGTGGAAAAGAGCTGCATTGCTACTGGAAGTGCTAATAATGTGGATAATCTCAATCTTGACATCAGACTTAGTTAACTCACTCTGGTATTATCTGTTTAATACTGTTAGTAGTCACTTACTGTTATTTATTAGTATTATAACACAATTCATGCTGTGAATCAGATAAGTAAAAGTTTTACAGGTGATAAAATTTGTTCAGGAATGGTGGGAAGTTTTTAAAGGTCTGATAAAGGATGCTTTGCATAAGCACTTGACTGAGTTCACAGTTTCATTGGACATTCATCATAATTTTGCTTGGGTAAAATAATGCCTTACTAATTTTAACATTCTTTGAGGAGGTTACTGCTTATGTGGATGATAGTAAGAATGTGAATTTGGAATACTTGGATTTTCAGAAAGCTTTTGTTAAGGTGCAACATAATAGGCCTGTTAAAAAATGTTATAGAAAAGTGATTGGAAGGAAAAAAGCCGAGTTCATTTATTTCACAGTATATTTATCTATTTCCTGCTCTGCAGGTTATCTACCTCCTGTCACCATCTTGAGCTCCACAGTTTCTCTGTGAGTGGGTAGGTGCTCTTTTTCTACGTTTCTTCATAACGGGTCTTTCTCGCATATACGGATCCCACTCAGTGGTAAGTGTTGTCTGACCAAGTATATTTATTCTTAAACCTGCATTGTCTGACCATTCAAGTCAATAACACTCATCGTTAAGATGGGGTGTTCTGCAAGACTGCTTGTAAGGTTTTCCTTGTGTTGTTTTGACTCGTAAATATATTCACTCTGGACTGTATGCTCATGGACTATAACATGAGTAAAGCATGCTGCTCTTTCATTTGCATGAATCAGGAATGGTCTGCTTTTCAAAGAGTCCTTACCACTTACTAACTCCTAGCTGCTTGGGTGGTTGACCATAGAGGCTTCCTACTGAGTGTGCCCAATTCTACTCAGTTGGGAGTAGGGTGGTGGTGTATAGACATTCCTCCTACCACAGACCTTTTGTACTATTCCAAGATGCAGTTCATCCCTCTGACTGGGCACCCTTCTTCCTACCATTGCCCTTATGTCAGTTCCCATGGGATACTAGTGTTTTTTGGAGCTAGACAGGCCATTTAAGTCCTCACATGTAAGAAGTCAGGTACCCTCCACTTACCGCAGACTAAATGATTCATTCACATTGCCACCTGGTTCTGGAATGGAGTTGAACTGACACATTGCTGTCTACCTTCCTACTGCCACATGGATGTTAGTCCCGGGGGTACTGGTACTGGTTGTATTGGGCATGCACATATGATGTGGGTCCTTGGAATATATGATCTTCTTCCCTTTGAGTTCCCAGGTCCGAGGTGAACAGTGAAGGACCCTTTTCCTACCATGGGCTGGATGTTCATATGGTCCTGCTAGTGTTGATTACAGTTGAACTCCCCTTTATGGTCCACTGTGCCCTAGCCACTGTACACCAGGTGTCCCTCTATATGATTCCACTTTTATTGTGACACATTAATTTCATGGATTGTGAGGATACCTGGCTCAAAAATGGTGCGGTATCCTATGGGTGTGTCTTACATACTCTTTATTCACACACCCCATGGGCTTCCTTTGGATGCTTTCTGAAGGGGGCTCTTATCGGTACTGTTACACTTGTTTCTCCACTGGGTCAGTGTGAGATTCTAGCTGTTCTGTGAGAGGAGTTAAGTATGTCAAGAAATGGCAGGCTGTTTTGTTCCTCTATTTCCATGGTGAAGTGGATTATTTTGTCTACGGAATTAAGATGTTCTAAGAAGGCTGGTAAGTTTTCCTGTCTGTGGGGCCAAATAACGAAGGTGTCATCAACATAACGTCTTTAGAAACTTAGGTTTACAGATGTGGATGAAAGGGCTCTTTCTTCAAAGTCTTCCATGAAAATGTCTGCTAGGATTGGAGAAAGTGGTGATCTCATGGCTAGACCATCTGTTTGTTTGTAGAATTCCTCATTGTATTGGAATTAAGTTGATGTGATGTTCAATGTTTCCTCGTAGTGGAGATAAGATAGGTAGTAGGAAGGTAGCTAGTTGATGGCAAGGTGAGTTTATAGTACTGACGATAGGCCTTAAAGGTATGTTAGGTTTGTGTACCTTAGGTAGTCCACAGAACTGAGGGGAGGAAGTTTTTTTTTTTTTTAAGTCTTAGGCTAACTTCTTGTTGATTAAGTTTTGTTTCTTAACTTTGTTCAGTGTTCTATTGATGAGTCTCTCCCTGTCTTTTCTGGAGGGTCATTGGTGATTTTTCATATTGGTGTTTGTCTAGTAACTGCTTAGTCATCTCCTAGTCATAATCTTTGACATCTAGGATGACTATACTGTTTCCTTTGTCTGCTGGTAGAATCTTGATATTGTCTCATTTCAGATGGTTCAGTGCACTGCATTCTTGTTTAGTGATATTTAGTTTTGGTTTCTTGGTATTCGTGAGGATGGTGTAAGTTTGTTGGAATTGTTCAGCCATAGGTTTCGGGAGGTTTTGTGCAGCAGATTCTAAGGTTGCAGCTATGTCAACAGTTGGAACTGTACCAGGTTGGATAGCAAAGTTTAGACCTAGGTTGAGAATCTTATATTGTGTATCATTTAGTAATCTCGAACTGTAATTGTGAACTATGTTTGTAGTCGTGGGATTATCTGTCTTGGCAAGTCTGTTGAATTATTTAACTTGTTTCTTCTTGATGTTTTCTAGGTTGGATGTATAGCGTTTGGTGTAGAGGTTTAATATATCCAGTGCTCTAGTATTTGTGGTGAAAATTTGTTGAAGCTCAGCATATTGTGTTCCAGTTGTATTGGTTAGATAGTACTTCTTCTGTCTGTTCTTCTATATGCAGTGGTATTGTCGAGAACTTTTTTTATCTTTGTAGTTCTGCCAAAAGTAGTTTTTTGAGTATCAGAAAGTTCAAGATGATGTTCATATCTCTGCAGCGTACTGGGAAGGTCAGGTGATTAGAGCATTGTGCGAGCTTGGTAAGGTTCTTATTGTAGTCATTGATCTTCTTGATAGAGGCTGGTCCATAACAGTTCTTTAGGTATTCTTTGATACATTGTTTAGGCAGAGTATTCATGATGAAACTGTAGAATGTACGGCAACTGCCTGTTGTTGACACACAAGAGTCTCAAAGAACACGAAAATACTTCCAGACTTTGAAGAGTCTAGAACTGTTCTAGATTCGAGTTCTATTTAGCACAGCTCTACGCGGAAATAAAGTGGGAAAAAATACTATGTGGCACGATGATATTTTTAGTTGCCATGATGACCTGGCACCCCAGGATTTATCGAGGCATCACATAAAATAATTGAGTAATCAAAATTATGATTTAATTGATTGATGTCATGAAAATAATCAATTAATGTTCCAGCTATTCCTGTTTTTTATTATTCCAACTATCCAGGATATGTGAAAATGACCATCCTGAGTTTTGTTGTGAAGTAACATTAAGAAATTCATTTCAAATAAAAATATACTTGTTCCCCCCACTGTATTATATGATTAATTTTATATATATATGCTATAGGTGATACACGAATTGGCCTAATGCAGACCTGTATGACAATATATGGTCGCCCTCAGCTTTGTTTTTCTCCAAGCCTCCAACCAGAATGGATGTTGACTTTGATATGTATCATCATTGGTGCTCTGTGTGTTACAGCCACCTTTGGTCTTCTCTTTATGTCTCGATGGAACATTCATGTCATTCCTTATGCTAGATGGGTTGGTTTTTCTGCAAGTAAGTTTTATTTTCACTTAAGAGAATATCTCATATGTGTATTAGAATACAGTAGAACTTTTTAACAACTTTATCTAATTTCAGAAAGATATTTGTTTCTTTAAGAAGTTAACAGATTTAAAAAAGTTTGGAGGTCAGAATGTCCTTTTTTAAAAGAATGAATTGACACTTTTTTAAGCAATATGTTTACTGTATCTATGAAGTTACATGCACAGTAACATGTTCATGTCTGTGTGTGAATCCATCAACTTTTTAATTAGTGGAGGAAGACTGAACATACAATCCAAATAAGTTACTTTTACAAGTAGATATAGGTCTTATGCTAAATGTGTCTAAAGTGAACATCAGCTAACAGATGTTTTTCTTTAATAGAAAATAGATTAAATTAATAACCAATCCTATCAATCACAATATTCTTTTACCCAAAAAAGTAAATTCTTTGGCCACTTTAATTTTATAGTCTGTCCAATTTTGTTTGAGATTTAAAGTATTATGCTCAGTGTTTTATCATTGCTTAGTAAGTGTCATTCAAATGAAAATGAATAATTGTGGTTACATTTTGCTAGAATTTAGGTTTACAATAACTGTTTAACTTTCAGTGGTATTGTTCTGTCTGGCGGCTGTAATTTTCCCTCTGGGGTTCACCATGGAGGAGATTGGAGGAGAACCATACCAACTTCCAGGGCATTATCATGTGGGACTATCATATATATTCTTTGTGCTTGCTTTGTGGATCACAGTAATCTCTGAACTTTTTGCTGGGAAAGTGTGTATGCCTCATTTCTAGGTTCACCTGCATGATCTGTGATTTGCTACACTAAAAACTGAAGTAAGAAATTCCATGTTATTAAAACTTTAAGTTAAATTACTTACCAACTTTGGTATTATACATTGTCAAAACAATAAACTGACCAACTCTTTTAGGAAGTAGGTTTTCTTTCCTAAGACTGACACGAGAATTATATTAGTAGAACTTTTATTGAATAAAAGTACAAAGGAGCTGGTGTGATAATATTTGAATTAACTGCTCTGTGTCATTATTTAATCACCTTGACAAAAATTTGACTTTTTGAATGTCTTTGTTCAAATGTTTACATAGGATTTCTGCAATATTTTTTTACGTCAACTCATCCATTTTATTAAGAATTATACATACTAGTTTATTTATTTTTAAACATACTTGCTTTATTATATTTCACAAAAACTAGAAACAGATCTTTTTGTGCATGATGGGAACATATACTGTTATCAATTTGCAACAGAAGGTTTACTTATTTGTGTAAGGTTGATAGTTTCATGTTTTACATGTAATAATAGTATATACGTGAACTGATTTGTAAACATTTGTGTGATTTCATTCATAATTTGTTTTGTGAGAACTGTGAAGAGATAACAAATGGAAAATATTTCTGTATATAAACGTTCTTTACACACATCCAAAATATATTCATAAAACAAATTAAAATACTTTTTGATTTAGACTAGTACTATTATTAGTAATAAAAAGGTTTAAGGCTTCATAAACTATTTGAAAGTATTTAGATACTTTAAACAAAAAATACATAGTTACATTAAAAACTGAACTCCAACTCATTAATAATGTAAACAGTGAATTCAAAACTGGTTATCAAATAATGTAACCTGCAGATCCCTCCCCCCATCAAAATTTCTTTTAATTTGCCTATTTAAGATTCAAAAGTGGAGGTATTTGAAATTGTAAATACAAAATAGACAAATTAAAAGGAATATGAAAAAACACCTGTGATTTTACATGTTTTTTTATTTCAGTTTTGGGCTTGTTAGTTTCTAATGATTTGCAAGCTTTCATCGTTTAAACTAAATTTTAATAATGTGGGCACTAAAATATTAATGACAACAATGACTGACTAATAATAAAAAAACTGCAGTGATAAAAAGTATCAGTTTGAAAAAATTATGAATATAACTTCAGTGAGCTTATCATGTAATAAATATAGTCAGAAAGTCTGTATACATGTATTCAGTTCCCTATATCACTTATGTTTAAATATTTGTATATAAATTAAAAATATATATATTGTACATTTTATCAATAAAATACCTAAAAAGTATTTTAAGCTTACACAGATTTAGGAGATTGGATTTTAATGCAAGTTATCCTTTTTCATTGTTGATCATGCAGCACTGTATTGAATGCAACATTTTATGTGAATTAAGCATAAAATATTTATTTGATGGCTAAATGTAACATTAAAAAATCCATTGGTATTCATATAAGAGAGAGTTAACATTAAATTTACATTTCACAAGTTTTATAAAAAGATGCAAAATATACAATTAACTTGCAAGGACCACAAAACTTTTTCAAAAATAATGGCTTGATTTTTTCATGAGTTTTCAGGCAATTGGACAAAATAAGAGAATAAATGGTATGAGAAGTATGAGAACTTTGCATCATTAGGCACAGTTGTGGTTGTTATGGTAATCAGACCACACTTACTAGAGGTTGAATGTGTTATATTAAAATTATTTTGGAGCCTTATCTTGCATAACACTACAGGTCATGTTGCCATATCTGGTCATGCTCTATCTGTAGAATCTTGACAATAACCCTGCAGTGTAGTTTACATTGCAAAAACTTTGTTGTAAGGCTGTTGTGTGTAAAGCATATTACTCCTCCCTGATTGCTCTCCATAAGAATTTTATTGGATAGTCAACATGGTTTTACTAAAGGAAAATCTTGTCTTACAAATCTTTTGACATTCTTTGAAAAGGTTACTGCTTATGTTGATGAGGGTAAGAGTGTAGATATGGTGTATCTGGATTTTCTGAAAACATTTGACAAGGTGCCACATAAAAGGCTTGTAAAAAAATGTATCTGTATATGTGTGTGTGGGGGATGATTTAGCAAATTGGATAGAGGAGTGGTTAGATGGAAGAAAGCAGAGGATTGTTACAAATGGAGTTCAGTCAAACTGGATTAATGTTTCTATAATATCACACAGAATTGTATAGGCACTGAATCAGGTGAGTTGACTAGTGTGTCTTTGTATGGAATAGCATGAATACTCATTTTACAGTCTTTTGCATTTGATTGGCCCTATCACACTGATGCTCGAAAGCACCCATAAAATGAGTTTTGTGAAGATTTATTAGGGCCTGTGTCAAGTCTGTTATGATGCCTGCTGTTTTGGGCCTACTATTTTCTTTTTTATTCTTATGAAGAAATAAATACTTTCAAATACCAATCCTGTTATTATTTGTTATGGTAGTACCACACTATCAGTTATTTATGTACACAGACAAGCTCACAAATAACTGTAAGTGATTCTGTTGGTTGCTATGACTCCAGAACTTTAATTTTAATTGGCCTAGGCTAGTGATGTTGCACATGCAAGTAATATGACATTTTCAAACTATATTGTTGTACATAGAAAATAAATATTTGTAACTGAGACACTTAAGTCAGTGTTTTGAAGTTTAAATTACAAAATTAGATATTAATTATTGGTAAATTGAGGCTAGCAAGAAAAGTTCTAGCAAATTTGATCATGACCTACATTGCATTTGATGAACTACTTTCTGCATGACAAAGCTGCAAAGAATGCCATATTGATTGGAGGTTGTCATAGCTTTGTGGCAAGCTATGAACAAGTCTTGGTTTATCCAGAATTATGACATGGCATCAGCATGCTAACCTTCCCATTGGACTGTTTGTGGTGGCAGGGTGTTTATAGCTTATGTGCATTTTTCAAATATGAAGGACTTATTTTATTTTTCAGCTGCTTGAGGTATGTTATGGTTGAACAGGAGATATGACTGGAAGCCTTATCTTGGTAACCCATGCCATGTAGGCTTGTTTTCAGATAGTGATCCTTCTAGATCTAGATTATGTTGTATAGCGTTACCTGGGGCATGTGAATGGCTTTTGCTACTGACCTTTATGTTCTTGGATTCTCATCTGTTAAAAGATGCTACACTTTGCTTATCATGGCTGGGTTATGACTTGATGCAGGTCTCTGTTGATATGGTCCTGGTATCCAAAGCTTATTCATATTCCATTTTTTTTCAATGGAATAAAGTATGAGGAATATCACAACATGGGAAATTCTAAAACTCCAATCTAAACATATCTTTATGAACAAAGAGTATGAACATTTTGCATCAAAAATGGCTATTACATACCTTTCAAAAAAGCAATCAATATTTGGTATAATCACATTACCTGCAAAACACCAAGTAATGTCAAAATGTAGTTTTGATAAAGTTTCTGTTTCACTACAACTTTATCTTGACTGTGGTTGTCACTTGACTTGCTGATTTGTATATTATAAATCATAATCAATCCTCTATATTACTTCAGTGTTCACCATTTCTTGTAATGATCATGGTGAAGTGAACTAAAGCAAAATTGTTGTAAGGTATATTTTTAATGCTGCAATTTGTTTGTTTGCTAAAGGGAACTCCTGGTCATAATGATGTACTGATTAAGAAACTTTATGAAATATCTAGAACAAGGATTAGCTATAAATATGAGTGAGCCAGTCAATTAGCTTAGCTAGCAGTGAATCATTTAGTTTCATTTCCAGTGGTAGAGTTAAATATTTGGATGAGTGTTAGTTATTATGTATATTCAGTTACTTGACTGATTAGCTGTGAAATTGTACCAGGAAGTTTATTTTTTATGTTAATTGTAGTACAGTTAGCAAGGTGTTTCCATCTGAATGTCATTTGTAAACTTAGGCATACAAGTTACAACTGTATACAGGTGATACTGATAGTAGCTAATTAATGTTAAGGAAGAAATAAACTAATTTGTTATTGTTATGTGGACTGGACCTCAAATTATTTTCAGCAAATAATTTAAAAGAACCTTCCCAATGAAAGAACAATGTGAGTTTATTTGGGTGGAGACAAAATTTTACTTGGTTCAATTTCATCATATTGACATGGCAACTGGATCTAGATGCAAAAATGAAGCATTGCTGGAGATGATTAAATTATTAAAAGAGGGCCAAGAAAAACAAAATAGAAAAATAAAAATATCAAAAAGAAATTTATGGAAGATTGAAAGATAAAGAGGTAAGAGTTTGGAATTTAAGAGAGGTGTTAAAAGAAAGAAATGCAATATTTAAAGAAGAATTAGGAATAAAAAGGCAATATTTATGAAGCAATTCAAGATTTACATAAGGATTACAACAATGTGATTGAAGAATTACAGAAAGACATCATCAAAGTTCAAAACACATCAGTGAAGTAAGAAAAAGCTGTAATGTCAAAATTGAAGAAGTAAAGAAAGATATGAATGAAGTAAAGATTGACATCAACAAGATAGAAAAGAAAATTGTTGGAATAAAACATCTGGGAAATGAATTATTAAATGCAAAGATTAAATCAACTACACCTCTCTCTGCATCAGCTCAAGAGTTCCCAATCTGAAACACCATTTACTTTAAAGTATGGAATAGGAGAACTTGCCTGGTCTACACCTATTACTACTACTTTACTATATTACTGCAGGACCTTGCTATAATACTCCAGCTATAACACTAATAAATCAAGTTGCAGAATTTAGCTGGAGAGACCAGTGTCAGCCAGTTGAGAAACTAATGGACTATGATGGAAAGGTACCATGAGAAGCATATAAGGCTCAGTTTGAAATAATTTCCAAGGTGAATGGGTAGAATAGTAAAAATCAAGCTATTCATCTTGTTGTTCAACTAAAAATACCAGCTTTGACAGCCTTAAATAACTTACCAGCTGAGATCCTTAACAATTATTGAGCATTAGTAGCTCTCCTATTCAACGGATGTGGGGTGAAACACCAGAAGGAAGTATTCAGGCTAAAGTTCCAGAAAAGGGGTACAGAAAAAATAAGAAACTTTAGCTAAAGTTGCAGAAGATTTGGAAAGGCTTGCCTAGTTATCTTACCAGGACTCATCATGAAATGATGGATACATTAGCGCATGACCAATTTATAGATGTCATAACAGGTGAGAATATAATAATTAGGTTGAAGTAAAGTAGGTGTAGATCTCTAAAGGTTGGTGGAACTAAAATCCATTAAAGTCACAGATAACTAAAGACATCATCTCACAGTAACAAAATTATCAGATTGAGTAGTATTGAAACAACAACAATTACTGATGATAGTATAGAAGAAATAAAGGATTCATTAAACAGCTAGATAAACAGAATGGAGGGAATAAACCACAAGAGAGTATTTCAAATGTAACTTGAAAGGGCATTTTGCCAGGAACTGCAGACAAAAGAGGTAGAGAATAAGAACTCCTCCCAAAGGATCTCAGAAACAGGGAACTGTTATAGATGTTGGAAATGTAGCCATTATAGTCAAAACTCTGAGGACTCGACAGCTGGTAATACATCAGAGAGACAGTACCCCAAGAATGAGCCTTCAAACCCAACTGGATAAAAGGAACAACAAAGGGTTAACTACACATGGAAAACAGGAATTCTGATATGATATCTTACCTCTGTTCTCAAAAAGCTTTCTTAACTTGTACTGCCATCTATTAGCACAAATTTTCCACGTTACTAGCCTTATTTCACCCACTTATTATTGCATACTAACATGCAAATGATCATGCATCAACCCTCCACCAATAG